CCTCAGGGAGACTGTATCCCTGTGTCTGTCTGCGTTAGCCTCAGCACTGCACTCTCACAGTAACCTCAGGCTGACTGTTTCCCCGTGACCCTCTCCTCGACTCAGCCCTCAACCCACGCCGCTCCATCGCACTGGCTCATCCTTGTGCCTCCATCTAATTAACTCATCCATCAACATCACCCACCCCGACCCCTCCTCGGTTACAGTCACTCCCCCTGTTCCCCTCATTAGAGGCACAACCCCTTCATGCCCTCCCACGTACAGGCACTTCCCTTCTCATGCCCCCCCAGGTACAGGCACTCCACACCCCCCCCACCATGCCTTCCCAGGTACAGGAACTCCAACCCCACTCATGCCCCCCCAGGTGCAGTCATTCCCCCATACCCGCCTCTCCCCCGCCCCGTACAGGCACTCCCTCCTTGTCCCTCTGGTACAGGATCTCTCACTAACGCCCCAACGATTGTACTCCTCATGTACCTTCCTACCCCATTGAGCACTCTCCTCTCTGTAGGCTACCTTGCCCCCAAGTCAATGTCCCCAGCTCTTGCTCCCACTCAGTGAGTCCCACCCATTTCTGTAACCTAGCCCACACTCCACCGATGGGCGGACCCTCTGGATGTGCCTTTGCTCTGGAAGGTGCCCTTGATGGTTGGGGTCACCAGGTGGTCAGCGGTGACCCCCCTGTACAGTAACACTGCTGCATCACTCAGCTCCCATCTCACACACACCCAATCCATCTCGGAGATACCTACTGAAACATCAGGACTCCTGTCTCCAGGGTGCACCGGGTCGGAGAATGTTCCGTCAGCTTCCGGAACAGCTGCTTGGCCTGGTTCTGGTACTCCTGTAGGTTCCGGCCTGACTGTAACAACAAGCGACACCAGTCACCTACAGACGCAGACCATTCAGCCCATCTAATCCAGCTGTTTGCAGAGCAATCAATTCAATCCGACTCCCCCACTCAGGCTCTGGAGTCTAGGAAGTTTGTTTCCTTTGAGCTTCGGTCCCACTTCAGTCCAAAGGATGTGCAGGTTAGGGTGGATTAGCCATGCTATAATTGCCCATAGTGTCCAGGGATGTGTAGGCCAGGGGTGTTAGCCATGGGAAATGCAGGGTTACAGGGATTGGTTGGAGTGCTCTTCAGAAGGTCGGTGTGGACTTTTTGAGCCGAATGGTCTGTTGCCACACAGTAGGGATTGTACGATTTCCTTTTGGATTCCTTTGCAATCCTTGTAGGCAGTATGCTCGAGGCCAAAGCCTGGAATCCTATGCCCTTGCCTTCCGCAGAACAGCAACTAGAGTCTAATTAAAAACTGAAAGAACCGCGGATGCTGTAAATCTGGAACAAAAACAGAAGTTGCTGGAAAAGCTCAACAGGTCTGGCAGCATCCGTGAAGGAAAAAAAAATCAAAGTTAATGTTTCGGGTCTGGTCCCTTCCTCAGAACTGATGGTGGCTGGGAAAACGTCAGTTTATATGCGAAAAATAGGCAGGGGGATGGGGTAGGGAGTAAACGATAGGATAGAGCCCAAAGAGAGAGAAAGACAGTTGGACAGACAGAGGAGTTGATTATGATCAGGCTGGGAGGGTGAGTAGATGTTAATGGGGACTGTTAGTGACTAACAACAGTGGGTGTATAATGGCAGGCTATGTGATAACAAGGCCTGGTGTGTGGGGTAGGGGGCTGGGACATGGGAGAGTTTAGGCCCAAAAATGATTGAACTCAATATTGAGTTCAGAGAGCTGCAGGGTCCCCAAGCGGAAAATGAGGTGTTGTTCTTCCAGCTTGTGTTGAGCTTCGTTGGAACATTGCAGCAAGCCTGAGACAGAGATGTTGGACAGGGAACAGGGTGGTGCATTAAAGTGGCAGGCAATGGGTAGTTCAGGGTCTTTTTAGCAAGTAGAACGTAGATGTTCTGCAAAGTGGTCGCCAAGTCTATGCTCCGTTTCCCCAGTGCAGAGGAGACCACATTGTGAGCAGCGAATACAGTAGACTAGATTCTGGGAAGTGCAGGTGATGTGTTGCTTCATCTGGAAGGTATGTTTGGGCCCTTGGATACTGGGGAGGGAGGAGGTAAATGGGCAGGTGTTGCACCTTTGCTGGTTACAGGGGAAGGTGCCGTAGGGCTGTGGGGAGGTGTTGGGGGTGCAGGAAGTGTGGACGGGGTGTCCCAGAGGGAATGGTCCCTATGGAAGGTGGACAAGGGAGGGGAGGGGAATATGTATCTGGTGGTGGCATCTCGCTGGAGGTGGCGGAGATGGCATCTGATGATCTTCTGGATGTGGATGCTGGTAGGATGGTAGGTAAGGACAAGGGGAACCCTATCGCTGTTGCAGGAGGGAAGAGAAGGGGTGAGGGTGGAAGTGTGGGAGATGGGTCGGACCCAGTTGAGACCCCTGTCAACCACGGAGCTGGGGAATCCTCGGTTGAGGAAGAAGTGGACATTTCGAAGGCTCCCTTGTTGAAGTTGGCCTCATCTGAACATATACGACGGCGTCTACCTGGGTCGAATTGTCATGGCTTCAGACAGCTCCATCAGATTCCCCTCCCCTCACTCCGTCCCACCCTCTCTGTCCCAGGGAGAACAGGTCTCCAACTTCTCCTACCAAACCCAATGGGGTCAAACTTGCTCCAACGCCTTTACACATTCTGGGCCACTCCCCTCCGCAGCCCAGCAAATACCCTTTGGGGAGTGGGGCCTAACCACCAGCTGTGACCCAACCAGTGTTACAGATGCTCAGTGTAACACCCCCATATTTTGTATCCAATGCCTTTATGATAACGGTGATACCCACACAATTAGCTCGCTGTCCCTTCAATATGCCCTGTCCTTCATATAAAGCCCTCTGGACTCTGCCGCACTGCTCACAGCAGTCTCGGTCCATTCAGATTGACAATCTGAATGCCTTCTGTCTTAAGGCATCAGCTCACATCTCCCCATTTTCATTGCTAACTCTTGCCTGACTTCCCCTGGTAATAGCCTGTTTAATCTTCTTCAATGTTTGCTACGCTCCAAGTTTGGTGCTATCAACAAATCTTGAAGTTCTACTCTGCACTCCAATATTGAGTGTCCATAAATCTGAAAAATAACCTGAAATAACGCCACGGAGGCCGGTATCCCATCACAAAGTCACTCTTTATTTACACGTGGAGACTTCTCGACACTGATCCAGCTACCTCAGAGCCAGCTCTCAGAGTGAACAGAACCTCTGATATTCCTGTTTATACCTGTCAGCCAGGGCTCCTTGATTGGACCAAATTAACAGCCCCAGTCAGGGAACTCATATGCTTTGAGATCCAGCTGGCTGACCCCATTACAATCACTACAGTGTCCTCACATAAATTTCAGGGATCCAGTATTATTGTAGAGCACATCCACATCACGTTCAGCACCACCGAACACTGCCAGGACTGGGACAGCACGGGGTTAGATACAGGGTAAAGCTCCCACTGCACAGTCCCCATCAAATTTGGCAAGCTTGCCTTCATTTATCAGAGAATTGAATATCGGAGTTGGGATGTCATATTGCAGTTGTACAGGACATTGGTGAGGCCACTTTCTGACCACTGCATACAATTCCGGTTGCCCCGCTATGAGAAGGATATTACTAAATTGGAAAAGGTGGGGAAAAGATTTACAAGAACGTCACTGGGGCTGGAGGGTTTGAAATATAAAAAAAGGCTGGTCAGGCTGGGACTTTTTCCCTGGAGTATAGGAGGCTGAGGGGCGACCTTATAGAGGTCTACAAAATCATGAGGGTCACAGATAAGATGCACAGTAAAAATCATTTCCCTAGGGTGAGGGAGTCCAAAACTAGAGGGCATACGTTTAAGGTGAGAGGAAAAAAATTTAAAAGGGACCTGAGGGGCAACTCTTTCACACAGAGGCTGGTTTGTGTGTGGAATGAGGAAGTGGTAAATGCAGCTATTTAAATACTACATTTAAAAAGAATTTGGACAGGTATATGATAGGGAACGTTTAGAGGAATATAGGCCAAATGCAGGCAAAAGAGACTAGTTTAGCTTGGGAAACCTGGTTGGCATGGACTTGTTAGTCCAAAGGGTCTGATTCCATGCTGTATGACTCTATGACATCACGGGGTTAAAACCAGAGTAAAGCTGCCTCTACACTGTCCCCATCAAACACTCCCAGGACAGGGACAACACAGGGTTAGATACCGAGTAAAGCTTCCTCTACACTGTCCCCCATCAAACACTCCCAGGACAGGGAAAACACGGGGTTAGATACAGAGTAAAGCCACCTCTGTATTGTCCCAATCAAACACTCCCAGGACAGGGACAGCATGGGGTTAGATACAGAGTAAAGCTCCCTCTACACTGTCCCCATCAAACACTCCCAGGACAGGGACAGCATTGGGTTAGATAAAGACTAAAGCCATCTCTGTATTGTCCCAATCAAACACACCCAGGACGGGGGCAGCATAGGGTTAGATCCAGAGTAATACCACCTCTACATTGTCCCAAACAAACACATTCAGGACAGACTCAGCACAGGGTTGGATACACAGTAAAGGCTACCTCTACACCGTCTGGAGCACATACAACATGATGAGTGTGTGTTCTGTCTTTCATTAACCAGCACTGTGTGTGGTTGTTAGCAGTGAGCCCTGTGACAGTGCTGACCTGTAATACACAGACAGTAGAATCTGAAATAGATTCTCACAATCCTCAACGAACATCAACTCACATCTCCCCTGAGCGGTTTCCAGTTGACTGTTCGTGTTTATTGAAATTGGAATCTGTTCCAATACAGGCAAACATTGACAGGCAAACAGTGTAAAGGTGTATCAGGCTGTTTACTGACTCTCTGACCAGCCCCGCTATCTGATTAACCTTTACCCTTTCCCCTGGTGATGTATACACTTACTGCTTCTACCAGCCATCGTGGCAGGTTTGCAATAAAACATAGAATCAATGGAGTGGACAGAGACACAGTGTTACCACACGAGTGGGACGGCACAGTGTTCGACACTGTGGCCTCACAGTGCCAGCGACCCAGGTTCGATTCCACCCTCGGGTGACAGTCTATGTGCACATTCTCCCCAGGGCTGGGTTTCCCAAAGATGTGCAGTCTGGGTGGATTGGCCATGGGAAGTGCAGCATTACAGGGATAGGGAAGGATGCGTCTGGGTGGGATCCCTTCAGAGGGTGGGAGTGGGCTCGATGGGCCGAATGGCCTGCTTTCACGCTGTAGGGATCCCAAGTCGTACACTGAGGAGATCTGAGCCTGCAGATTCTGTGAGGAAGGGGAGACTAGGCAGGCACAGCGATGGCAATGGAGTGGCTTGTTAAATGTTAGTTTTGGGCGCTTTGGGAATTTCCCGTGGGGAGGGGAAAGGGCTGGTGGGTGAAGGGAATGAAGGTGAATATCACACTGTGGCGGTAATGGAGTCTACATCACTGCCAAACAGTTATTTTTGAGGTGCAGCCATGATTGTCAGACACAAAAACGATACTCAAGAGGGGAACAGCAAGATCCCACATTTAGCAACGTGACAATAACCAGATAACGGCCTTTCATGATGCTGGCTCAGGGTTCAATATTGACCAAGCGGCAACACCGCTTTGGGGTACTGTGTCTCACTTCAACAGGACAACCACATCACTCACTTACCACAGTACCTCCAACCGTGCACATTCCCTCAGTACTGACCCTCCAACAGTACAGCACTCCCTCAGTACTGACCCTCCAACAGTGCGGCACTCCCTCAGTACTGACCCTCTGACAGTGCGGCACTCCCTCACTACTGACCCACTGACAGTGCGGCACTCACTCAGTACTGACCCTCTGACAGTGCGGCACTCCCTCAGTACTGACCCTCTGACAGTGCGGCACTCCCTCAGCACTGACCCTCTGACAGTGCGGCACTCCCTCAGTACTGACCCTCTGACAGTGCGGCACTCCCTCAGCACTGACCCTCTGACAGTGCGGCGCTCCCTCAGCACTGACCCTCTGACAGTGCGACGCTCCCTCAGTACTGACCCTCTGACAGTGCGGCACTCCTTCAGTAC